GTCTATTAGATGTCTATAGACGTCTATTAAACGTTTTTTAGACCTGTTGTTCTCCCTGGGTATCCCGCATATCCCACGTTTAAGGACTATGCAACTAGTACGTAATCAAAGTACACAAGTAATTATTAATTAATAAAGATAAATATCATTATTAATAAAAATAATTACTAATTAATTTATAAATTAATATTAATAATATATTACTAATAACAGAATAATATAGAGTAACGAGAAACACTCATCGCCACGATACACGAGTCATGAGTGGAACGTGTGCCGAACAGGTCGTGCCAATCCTGACCGCGCGAGTTTCATGCGCTCCCATACGTCAACTTCAATGCCTCACCATTCAAATTCTATTCATCAGATCACTTTTTTGTAAAGAGCTTTTTGTCTTAGAATTTCATGAAGAATCTGACATTAAAAACTTTTCCGCCAATTCTGATACACTCTGTATATGATTATGTATAAGTCTTGCATCATATGTATAAACATATATAAGTAAAAAGCAAATTTCAGATATAGTCATACGCAATTGTATATGATTTTGTATAAACGAGAAATTCTGGCTAATTGTGTCACTTTTTCCTTAATTTCATTTAATGCCTTGATTTAGAAATATTTTACTTTTCTAAAAGTTTCTATACCTTTTTCTTATCGCGCGCGTGCATGCAAGAGAGAAATATAAACAAAATAAAATAAAAAACACTATTTTACATTTATAAGAGATATATGTTATTTATTGTATTTTTAAATAATATGAGAAAAATAAATAACATGAGATATAAATACATTTTATGATATTATGTTACACTAATATATTGTACTACTCACTGTAATATATTTAATATACTAATTGTAGTATACTTTCACTTTTCTTAAGATATAAACTGTCAAAATATGTACATTTGCAATGACTTTCGCTCGATAACAATGCACAGCGCGCATTGAGATAGTCAATCAGCATCAGGAAAAGTGACAATAATGAAAATTTACCTTGCCCTTTTTAAAGAGTGAGTTTTTAAATATAAAAGTACAATTCATTGAATATATGTATAAAAAAGTAAATAGAAGATTAATGTGCGTGATAATTATTTTTGAAATAATTATTTCAACGCTGTTATAATTTGAATGTACTTTGTTACAGATCAACTTGTGTACAACTCTGCTGCAGCGCACCATGCCGGTAAGTCGATTCAACTTGTTTTATTTTAATGTCATTTAAGAAAATAGATTACAAAATAATGTAAAATATACAAAATAATGTAAAATATACAAAATAGAAAATATACAAAAGTTTCAGACCAGTAGTATTGCGTTAATCACAGATTTCTGAAGCTTCTTATATGGTATTGATATAGAAATCAATATACAACGTGCTTACGCACGTAAATTTATGACAATCTGATTAATCAAGGTTTAAACATTTTCCATTAAAAAATTATTGCAATTTCGACATTTTGGCATAAAAATGTTCATCTCTAAATGACCTCAGAATTCTTCTATAAAGAGTAATATGGTTGGTCTGGTATATTTTGTGATATGCATATGTAAAATATTTTCAATCATCTTGAAATGCTTTTTGATTATTTACAATCAGTATTTTAAAATATTGATTTATAGTTATTTAATATAGTTATTTAATATTTATAAATGCTAAATATTTTTTATATGTTTAAATGGATAATTTTTCGTATTTATACAAGTATTAGATTTTTATTTATAAAATAATTCATAAAAGTTTAACATGTAAAAAATTTTAGTAAAAATTTCACTCTGTTTTATTAAATACCTACTTAAAAGCAAGTATGAATTATATATTTTTATGCAGTATTTAAAATTAAATATAATAGTGTACAAAATGGCAAACGAAAGAAAGAATCCGAAATGATTAGAAATATTATTTTCCGCAATAATATATTCCAATTAATTTATTCAATAATACAGTACACTCGTGATTTATAAATATTAATTATTCTTAATCTTCCAATTTTATTTCCACCTTTTTATTTATCTACATTTATCAATGTTGTACGTCACTTGAATCTATTAAAAATTGTGTTAATATTTAACTAAGACATTCTATTCTACGATTTTATTTGTGAATGTATAATACATTTTGTTATGTGCGCATGAAATTGTTCTTTGAGAAAGTTAATAATTTTTATTTTCTTTATTATTCTAATTCAACATTGCTATAACTGTGCCTATATACTATATACATTGCTATATGCTTTGTCAGTTCAATCATCATGTTGACGAAGAGATCCATAATTTACGATTTGTCTTGCGTTCTCCAATTTCCGTTTAGTAATTTTTTTTTTAACAGCATCAACTAGCCTCTTGTCATTCAGATATGTTGTCGCAAAGATATTTATCTAAAACAAATTATTTCGACAAAATCAATCTATGTAAAGTTTCTTTAGTATACAGTTTATGAGAGCATAATTAGCTACGTCCAGTGTAAATGGATCAGATATATTATTTATGTAAGAAATCTCATAGCAACAAGCTCAATGTTGAAAAGTCAAGAAATGAAGGTAAATAATTTGAATTTCAAAACATACCCTTTGAAGTTGGTGTATGGATTGCACATGCGTAATACTAACAATTAATATTGCAATTTTATCAACTTTCCTAAAATTAAAGTAATATATTTAATATGCATACAAAATAAATATAAGAATATATGTAAACAGAAAATATCGTTACCAATTTCTACTTAATTTCAATTGCATGCTTTCTAAACCATCCAATATAAAATCGAACACTAGAAAGTTTCTTACATGCTTTGCGACACTAAGAAGAACTATATTAACTATATTAACTTGATAAACATTATTGTTTTGTACTGCGATAAGATATTTATACTCTTCAGTTAGTCTTAATGTTTGATTCAAATAAGAGGTAATAATTAAAGGATCTTTACAACAAGTTAAGTAATCTAAAATTATGTTATCAGATGATGTCGTCCATTTTTCCCATGTATGGTTCCAAATGGTGTAGTTTGCTGACATTAAACCTTTACAATATTTCCATTCTTTCCATATAAACTGACTGCGTTAATAGAAGAAAATATTTTATACGAATATATAGCTTATGTTATGTATATTAATGATAAAATAGTTTCTCAAGTTAAATATAATAATGTAACAAAATTTTTTTATAAAAATGTGATTTTAAAACAACTTACTTGTCTTGTACAGGATTTTCAAGATCTTTTATGAGTTGTAAAGTGGCTGTTTTCCTGCATTCAGCAGCGTTGATAATACATGCCCATTTTGCGGCTTCCTCTCTTAAACATTTAGTAAGGTCGCTTTCGTTCGGGTTTTCATCGTATCCTATTATTTTCAAAACTCCATTCAACATTTTTTCCATTTTTTCCTAAAAATTAATAAATAATTTAAATTTAAAATCTATTGTTAAAAAAATGTGATGTTTGTGTATACGTACACAGATGCACAAATATACGTATGTATGTACATGTACACATATACTTATTTATTTAATTTTTTTATGTAGAATGTTTAAATGCATAACTCTTTTTATAGAAATTAGCCAATACCTACCATTATGTCACCATTTAATGAATAGGCACAAGCCATGTATTCAAAAGCTTTAATCATAGGATACCATGCTACATAATTCGTATTTTTTGATAGAAAGCTTACGATATTCCAAAACATCGTTAAACTGAGTCGGCGATGTATGAGAAAGTGAAACGCATCATCTATGACTTGGGCTTGATTGAGAACATATACTGTATAATTTTTTTTCAAGCACTGCGCAAGTCTAAGCCAGCCCTCAGAATTATAATTAACACGATAGTATCCTATTATATAAAAAATATATTTTTTTATGAATAGAGTTTTTGATTGTATTTATGAAGAAATAGTTTCTAACCGTTTTTTTTTTAATATTTTCTTAAATTATTTATTTTTTAGTAAAATATTTTAAACACTTTGTTTTAAATGTGTTAGATTTCTTGTAAATCATTAATAATTCTATAATTTTTAATTAGTAGTTTTGCAGTTTTGAGATTTAAAATGCATGGTGAAAACACAATCATTAAAGACCTGTGACAACATGTACATATGGGGTTTTCTATCTAGCTTAAGCATTTTAAATTTTTCACTTGTTTTTCATAATACGAAATATGTCAAAGAAAAGCATTATTTGTTTTGGAAGGACATATATTATGAGAAACAAAAAATTTTTTTAAAGTTATATTCTTTAAGATTATAAAGTCATCGATCATTTTTAAACGAGACTATATGTTTTTATCACTATATTGTAATAACTAAGATATCCAA